GGTTGCGTTTCTTCCCTCAGGTATATCCTCATATGTTCTTCTTTTTGCCACCGTTCTTATTATTATTATTGATGTTCCCATCGTGAAGATTTTTAAACAGTGTACACGTGCAAGTAGCCAGTGTGTTATTATTGCAGGTGATCATCTCCTATCGGGATCTCGAGATCATACAATTAAAATGTGGGAAGTGACATCAGGGTATTGTGTACGAACGTTTTTGGGCCATCATGAGTGGATTCGTATGGTTCGAGTTTATCATGATGGCAGTATGTTCGCATCTTGTAGTAACGACCATGTTCGTTCTGTTTCTTTATTTTCTTTTATAGTGTTTAATTTTTGTTCACTCATTCAGTATCCACCTCTCTGCGAGTGTATGCCTATCCAGCTTTATCGGTTTCACAAATATCTCTTTTTTAATTCTTGGTATTCTGTTCTCCACACGGCTGACGATATCAGTACAGGAGTTATCGGTTTTTAGCAATTTCATTTTTTTGATTGCTGATTTTGCGATTGCAGAAATGTGTCTAGAGGCATTGTTTTTAAGTATTTATTACGTGATGAACAATGTTAATGTTAACTAATTGATAATTGATTTAAGAGTATTCGAATTTGGAATACATCATCAAAGGAATGTAAATTAACACTCACGGAACACGATCATGTTGTTGAGTGTATTGCTTGGGCACCTGATAAAGCCCTATCAGCTATTAAGGAGGCTGATGAATCACATCTGAATGGTTAGCAATCCGTTCACCAGTATTAGATTGAAACATACAATAATCAGTTACAATTTAAACGAGAATATAACTATTCTACATTTCTACGCGTTACTCCCATTTCGATTGACCTTTTTTATGTTTCATCACAGTAATGCTCAGTTTTAATTTGAAACTGAATAATTATCTAATTAAGTACGCTGTTCTATTTTTGTTCATTTTGATTCGAATTGATGCGAAGCAGCAGTTTCGTGAGTTTTAGATGATTATCACACTGGTTTTGTTGTATTGATCTTATCAGTTATTACGTTCATTATCAATCTTAATTTGGGATATAGGTAAAATGAATGGTGACATAAAGATGAGTGATGGAATACTGTCAGCGAAAATCGGTCCAGTTCTAATCTCTGGATCACGCGATCGAACCATTAAATTCTTCGATGTTAATGTTGGAATTTGTTTATTCACACTTGTAAGTTAATGAATAATTCATTGTAACTTTTGTATGCAAATGTTGTTGTAATGATATAAATGATTGATGGTTGAGATCGGTGATTTTTGATAAATGTACATCAATCAATCAATCAATCAGGTTGGTCACGATAATTGGGTTCGTGGATTGCGTTTTCATCCGGGAGGTAAGTTTCTTCTGTCAGTTGGCGATGATAAAACGTTGAGAGTTTGGATGATCAGTCAAAAGCGATGCTGCAAAACGATCGATGCACACTCTCATTTTGTTACTTCTGTTGGTGAGTCGACCATTTTTTTCATTATATTCTTCATCTTTTGTGGTATTTATACGAATGTATTATGAATGTGCGCAGTCGCCATCATTTCAAACACTTACGTATTGATGATTGATATTTTTGCATTATTCATAACGTGATAGTTTCATTATATTAGCATTGGTTGGAGTATCAGATCACATCCGCAATAGAAACACACCGCCAAATCATCGGAGGTGATTCATGCACAACCTAGATGTTCACAGCCATCGTTTAGAAAAATAAGCTGATGCTGTGTAAAGCTAAGCAATATGTTCGTGATGATATATGAATGTTCATCAAAGGAATATAATTAGATACCATTGAAAATGTTGCTATAATCAATTGTTTTTGTTGTTTTAATTTCAGATTTTCACCAAACATTACCATACGTAGTAACATCGAGTGTTGATATGAGTGTAAAAGTATGGGAATGTCGTTGAGAGGCGAGTGGACGGTTGGAGTGAGGTTGGTTGCGTTGTGAGTGATATGGGATTACGGGGTTTGATGTGATTGTTGATTAGATATCACTCTGGTTTACAGTTTATTCTTTGATTGTACTGAATCGTTGGTTGTGGTTTTTTATCGTCGGATGGCTGACTCTCCTTCCTCTATCTTACTTGATATTATTATCACTGCTGTCATAATTACTATTTCAAATGTTCTTCATTCAGATTTGTTCATTATTCCTTCATTTTCTTCTTATCCTCCTCATGAGAATTTATAAATGCACTTCGATCGCTTATTGCTTCATCATCTCGGCTTTGTTCTGTATCATTCGAATTTGAATTAATTAATCACTCATCAAATCAACTTATTACAGTCAACGGGAATTGACGATCTTATTTCATTTTGAATTGTCGTTCGTGTTTTGTTTTTTGTGTTGTGTATTATTGTGTTTAGTAAATATGAGTTTCAAGAATTTCCGAATATGAGTTTTGATTGGAATGGACGAATCTTTGATTGACTTTGTGTTATTTGTAATTGATAGTGTTCTGTGAACTTCTGTCATCATTCTTCTGTGTTTTTTCCTTTATTGTATGTAGGTATTGCGCTGAAGCATATATTTTCTCTTTTATTCATTCTTTTAATCATCAAAATACAGTCAAAGAGTTTCGTCTCAATTTGCTTAATTCAACTCGCTGCAGGCCCGTAGCCTCAAAGTTGAGGTGCGAATTTGAAATGGTTAGTCGATTCTGTGGTTGTAGAGGGGAGTGATGGAGATGGGGCTACGGGTTTGAATGGTTAGCTATTTTTTTGTGAATATAAACTTGATTTTTTCACTATCGAATTCGATCTTCTCTTTTTCATCGAATCGGTTCTACATGTTTTCGTTCGTTGTTGCTTGTGAAAGAAATTCTTTTTTTTTTGTGTGTGTGTGTGAAACGTTTCTTTGTTCGGTTTTAATTGCGCGCTTAAACACAACAGGTTGACATTTATCTTCATTTCATCATGTACTACTGAGGTCAGATATAAACTGGCAGCGCAGCAACTATGCATCCGTGCGATTCATTGTATACTTTGTAATGCGTGTGATGGACGAAACTGAATTGTTCCAATGAGATCACGATTTTTTTTTGAGTAATTAATAAAATTGAGAACGATTCCGTTCAACTTCCAAGCATTGATATACATTGATCAATTGGAACCGTCCGTCTGTCCGTTTGATGCGATGATTGGTATACGTTGTGAACATGAATAAGTATGTCATGAAATAAAATGTGTACAATTGCATAAATTGGTGAATTAGCAGTGAATTCGTTCAGTGTAATGATGATGATGAGCATTGTTTTGAGGAATACATCGCAGGCGTTTTGTTGGTATGTGAATGCGTGAATGAATTTTCATGTGGAATGTGGAAATATTTTATTCAATTTTGGTGAAAGGTTGCTTTCTTCTGCTATTAAATCTCATTCAGTTTATTTATGATGCTAAAGAAACTGTGTTGGTCTTATGAATAAATGACGTTTTGGTATGTTGGAAATGCATGAGAAGAGTTTGAAGATGACATCTCAGAGAGAATGATACGAAATTTGTTTCAGTTTCTAGAAAAATTGAATTGAATTTAATCGCTGCGATTAAACTGAATCCTTTAGGCTGTTAGGGCGCGTTCTTAATCGGTTTCATTCATTTA